TTGGATTGAGACATTGAATACAGCAAGACCTATAGGACTAAATATTCATCATAATGTAGGCATAGCACCCTTTGTTGTCCCGTTTAATACAACCAGCAATCGAGCAAGCAAGATAGTTCATGCCCACTATAAGAGCCTTCAAGAGAAATTCCCCCATGTCTATAAGCAGAAAATGATAGTTGCATATTCAAAAAATAAGAACTTAAATGATAATATTGTTCATAGTAAACTAAAAACAATCAGTACATAACAGATACTATACTTCTCGCCCATCGGGCGAGTTATTTTTTCTAATTTCAGATCAGAATAAGAACAGAAGAAAACCCAATATCAAGACCCTTAATCCTAATTTCTAAATAAAGTGTCTGCTCCACCCTAGGCCTGTACATTTGGGAGAATCAAACCCTCCCTTCCCCGAAATCAAATAGAGTTTCCCATGAAGGTTAAAGTCAATAAAATAGTCTTCAAACAAACCGGTAAGGCCGTCAAACATATTTCATTATTCAATGGTAATTTGGAAGAGACTATACAAATTGATAAAAGGGATGATTTATATGAAATTGAAACGAAAAATGGTAAATATGTAGACACCTTTAAAATGGAAGTAGAAAATGATAAGGATATCATTGGAATCAAAGATTTAGATATGATATTGGAGACGGAAAATCCACCATCAACCAACATTGTCAAAAATCCACCATCACTTATAATACCCGCACACATACCCGGACCAATAGAATCGAGCAGTCACGAGTTTTTACGAACAACAGACTTTGAATATGTAAAACTGTATTTTGTTTTAAGCGGAAAATACACCTCGATCGATGTTCATAAAAGTCAACAAGAAAGAGTTTATAGTACATTTATCGTTTGCCGAAGACCCCATCCTTGAAGGTGGTGGTTATATTTCTAGAGCCAAGATAAACATCGAAAAAGAAAAAAGAAAATATTCCTATCATCTTAAAGAGGACCATACGAAAAAAAGAAATGTCGTTAGTACGCGTAAATGTTTTTTACTATTAATACCCGTAAATATAATAATGCTAGGCCAAACAAGTACGTTCTATATGATATTCCGTGGTTCCATTTATCGGAAATTCACTTAATTTAACGACTTAAAAAATGGAACTCGAAAGCTGACAACAATACATGATAGACAAACAAGAAGAGTTGTAAATAAAGTTGAGACAGTACAATACATGCAGGAAAACATGGAGAAGAATCGATTGTTTTCAAGACAGCGAGTGTAGTTCTAACGATAGGAACAACACTTGCAACGGCCGTGACTGGTGGATTAATGGTTCCGGTCATCGTCCCAACTGTATTAGCCACAATTACTGCTATTCAAACTTCATCTTGTGGCTTGATTGCTATAGGTTTCACGAGCAAAAAGAAAGCTCATTATAAAAAGAAAACGGATATCTTGAATATGTATCTTTATCAATTGTACATCTTTTTCGAAAGATCGAAAGAAGACAAGAACATAACAGTTGAAGAATTAGAAGAATTCAATGAAATTTTGGACAAATTCCATACAGAAATATCAGCGGTCAAAATAAAGAAATAATATATAGTTAAAAATATGAATAAAATCGAACACGATGAAACATTGATAGAAAACGTCCTATTTTCCGATGTTATCAAGGCTGTTTCCAATAAATTTAAAACATTCAAAGGACAAATTAAAATAGATGGAGAGATAGTCGAGGAAGGGAATCACAGACAAAACATGTCATTCCTCGGTTTCAATGCCAAAACTTTTCACAATTTCTTTTCAAATATGGACAAAAAATCTGATGCTTCCAATTGGTATTTTAAAGGAAAAATAATTTTAATGCAAGACAATTTCCAAGAAATAAAAAGATCGAGAGTTGGCAGAGGAGGAACTGATCTACGTAAAAAGATAAATGAATACGAAGGTGAAAATTGTTACATACCTACAGATGGTCACTGTTTTATCAAATGCGTCAATCGTGTTTTGAACAAAGATTTAACGTGTAAATTTCAAGAATACATCTACGGGTTTTCAAAAGCAAATAGAAAAGGAGTGATGACTTGTGCTAGAATGAAGGAATTCAACAAGAAATTTAACACTTCGTTTCAAATTTATTATCCCAAAAACAGACATTTTCACCCCAGAGACGTACATGATGAATTAGATTGGGTTTTTGACTTACACAACTCGCATTTCTGTCTGATTAGAAGAAGCCAAAAAAGTTTGGGAATTCAAGAAATAGAAGACAATTATGAAAACGTGTAGACATGATAACGCAGTAACACAGGTTTCACCTCTCAAACTAAACGTGCTTTCAAGTATGAGTGATGATGCGTTATTCGCTTGGGATTGCGAAACGTATTCAGAAAAAGACACGCGAAGAGCAATTCCTTATGCCTGCACTTTAATTAATTTAGAAAAAGTAAGAAAAAAGTTAGAAAAAGATATCTTTCCTACTGATAATGTTCCAGAAGAATTTTATGATAAACTAATAGAAATATTTGTAGGTACAGATTGTACAGATCAAATGTTGAAATATTTAGGTCAATATGATAGAAAGAGATTAATATTAATTTCTCATAACGGCAGTGGATTCGACAACTGGATCGTGCTTAAAAATACAAAAAAACTAACACATTGCCCTTTAAAAACACCCAGAGGAATTCTATCTTTTCCTTTATCTAATCCATACACAGATGAAGATTTACAGAAAAAATGGAAAAGACAGAAAGAAATAAAGGTTAATTATTTACAACATATTAATTTCACATGTTCCTATCAACATGAAAAATCTACTTTGGCTGCATGGGGAAATTCGTCCAATCTTCCCGCGAATTTGAGAAAGATTGCCGACGTAGATATCGCTGAATACACGCAAGACAACTGGGAGGAATTGAGACACGAATGGGAACCTTACGCCAAGAGACACTCTCTGTTTGGGAGCTTGTTTGATAAAATACAACCAAGTCACGAAAGAAGTTGTACACCAGAATATGTCCAATAATCTAACGGCTCCATCTTTATCTTTAAAGGGTTGGTATTATTTATATCATTACGATAAAGAAATGGTGGAAGAAGAATGGTATGAAACTACTAGAATGGTTGCGAAACATACCGAAAAAGAAAACGTAGAAAAAGTTTATTCGCACACTAATCCTTTTATAAGAAATTTTATCAGACGATCTATTAAAGGAGGAAGAGTTTCGGAAAATAGAAAATCATTTGAAACGAACAAAATGGATGAAATTTGTAACGTATTAAAGGAATATATTTCACAAACTGACACAGAAAGTAATAACATAATTGATTTATTTAAAGAATACAGTGCAAGCACAAAAGACAAAACGGAGGTTCATTCGAGACTTAAAAAAACAGAATGTACTAAACTAATGGCATTTGATGCTAACGGTTTATACGCTTCCGCCATGTCGGATTTAGACAGTGAATATCCGAGAGCGGAAAGTGGAAGACCGTTTCTACCAGAAGAAGAAAAAGAATTTGTAAAACTCTTCAATAAACAAAAATTCAGACCTAGAACAGCTATTTTAACAGTTTGGTTTGAATATCCCAAAAAAATGTTCTTCCAACCGATACCAGCTAAAGATAAAATCACTTTCACGAATAAAGAAGGTAAAAAGGAAACTGGTAACAAAATCAGGTTCAGAAATGGTTTCTGTCACGACGTTTTAACATCGGTCGATATTCAAGAAATAGTGAAAGCCGGTGGACGAATTATTAGAATATTAGATGGTATAGTTTACGAAGA